TCATTGGGAGATATGCTGTATCTTTTTTTCATTGGGAGATATGCTGTATCTTTTTGTCATTGGGAGATATGCTGTATCTTTTTGTCATTGGGAGATATGCTGTATCTTTGTGCGGTATGAAACACTTTGATATTTTGTAATTGCATGCATTTGGTTTAACTTTAAATTTAGCATAAGTTTTTGTATTCTAGTATAGTGTATATGCTTACAACGTATCATGAAAATTGAACGACATTTGAGTAGACTACCTGGTAGAAGCTTAAGTGAAGACATTGACCAATCAGAGTGCAGTATGCTAATTAATCATTTGTGTATTTTGCTCATCTTTCAACTTAGTTTTATTGTTTAAATATTGTAAATGCTTCAAAAGCATCCTCAAAATTGTGTAATATTTCACTAAGTTATCTTGCTGAAACCAATTAGGTGTGGATGGATGGATGGATGGATGGAGAGATACTCCCACTACTCTATACAAAGGACCTCGCTGTAAACTGACAAAAGACATCCCAAACAAATATGTTGTCGTAATTTTACACTGACAAAGGACATCCCACACAAGTACATTGACAAAACATAGAGAGAGATGATAGTGGAAGCAGGAAAGCTAGGTCTACATGACAAAGTTCACTCAACAAGACACTGACAATTACCTGTACCCATTGCTGTCAACAACACACTGACAATTATCTGTACCTATTGCTGTCAACAAGACACTGACAATTACCTGTACCCATTGCTGTCAACAAGACACAGACAATTACCTGTACATATTGTTGTCAACAAGACACTGACAATTACCTGTACCCATTGCTGTCAACAAGACACTGACAATTACTTGTACCTATTGCTGTCAACAAGACACTGACAATTACCTGTACCTATTGCTGTCAACAAGACACTGACAATTACCTGTACATATTGCTGTCAACAAGACACTGAAAATTACTTGTACATATTGCTGTCAACAAGACACTGACAATTACTTGTAACTATTGCTGTCAACATGTCAATGACAATTACCTGTACCCATTGCTGTCAACAAGACACTGACAATTACCTGTACATATTGCTGTCAACAAGCCACTGACAATTACCTCTACCCATTGCTGTCAACAAGACACTGACAATTACCTGTACATATTGCTGTCCACAAGCCACTGACAATTACCTGTACCCATTGCTGTCAACAAGACACTGACAATTACCTGTACCCATTGCTGTCAACAAGACACTGACCATTACCTGTGCATATTGCTGTAGACTTGGTGACCAGAACTGAACCTCTGTTCTCTTCTTCTCAGAGCAGTGAAGGGAATGTGCAGGCACTAGGACAAACCTACAACCAAAAAACATTGGACCATCCTATAACAGAACAAGGTAACCGCGAGCGGTATATAATACGCCCGTCACACATTGAATGAGCAGTTGTTTGTATGATTGAAATATATGAAGTATTTGTGAGTAATTGATATTAAAAGAGAAATCATTCAACATAACTGGTAGATCAATGAGTGCAATACAACATCATGGAACGCATGCATCGCATTAATGAAACCAAGGG